TATGTTGCGGGGGCAGAATTGCTGCCTAGAATCAAACGATTTCTTTGAGCTGGCCACTAATACTAGATTGTGCGGACACCCTCTCAAACTGCGTGTGACTGGGGCAAGATTGAACACACGAAAAGTCTTCTTCTCTAAGAGGGTAATCCAGGCATGGAATGCTCTACCCGCATACATTGTCGTGTCCACATCTGTGGACACGTTTTAAGAAGCACTTGGATCAGCATAGAAAAAGACATTCTCTGTAATGATGCGAGCTAATTACGTTACAGATCAGCATAAAAAAGACGTTCTCTGTAATGGTGCTAGACTAATTACATTACCACCCGTCCGCAAGTAAGATTTGCCACCAGACTTCTCTGGCAGTAATTACCTTTTTTTAAAAAAAGCATACTGTTCACTACTTTTTAGTAATATGTTTGTTTAGAATAACGATTATCGCGAGTCTCGTATGAGGGGCGCATCTCCGACACTCGGTGATGTTCTCGTGACCACCGCAATCTTCTTCTCGTGTGACCATTAGGATATTGAAAAACCGCGATGGCCTCCTCCTGACGTGATCCAAACACTTTTAGCAGCTGGACATCCGATTAACATATTCCCTTCGCCTTCCCCCCACAGGCGACAGTTTTTCTCCTTAAAATCCCACAAATGGCATTCAAAAATTAGACTTATGAAAGATGCCTAAGGAGTTTTTTTACTGTCTTCCCCCCTACCGCAGTTCCATTACTGGCAACGCCACATGTTCTGCATCATAGCTATGTACAAAGAAGAATTTCAAAGGTATTTACCCATATTTCCCTGATGAATTGAACAGAAACTCTCTGAGGCTCTGAGGTCGAAAGTCCGTCTGCTGCGACATTCGCCTCGAATAACTTCACCTACCTGAGTTATCATGCCACTGAAGCATAGTCCAGCAGCTTATAACTCTTAATTTATTTGACCCGATTGCGAAACATCTCGCGGCCTCGGTCAGAAGGAAGGTTTTTCGCAGCCATTGCTCTGAAATTGAGCTACGAAGCTCACTGTGAGCCGTGAATTTAATCACAAGTTGATCGATTTTGTCCGCTCTACTTGCTACTCATATGGAATCCATCACTATAGAACAGCAAGCAGACTGCCCATACAGGCATTCGGCGGAATTCGAACCCGCATAGTAGGAAAGGCATTTGCGCAAAGCCAATGCTCTACCAGTTGAGCTACAAATGCCACGCCTAGCAACGTGAGTTTATTCACACTTAGATCGACTTTACCCGCTCAACTTACTGCTTGAATGGAATCCACCATTACGGGACGGCAAGCTGACAACCCAGGTGGAATTATCCAAGCAATCATCTAAAATCCACCAGAATGACTACTAGGCTAACTACGTCAATTATAGATGATTAGTTAGGAAATCCTGCCTGGGCAGTCAGCTTGCTGTTTCGTTATGGTGGATTACATACAAGCAGTAAGTTTGGCGGGTAAAAGCGATCTAAGTGTGATTAAATGCACGGCGCACAGTGAGCCCCGTAGCTCAATGGTAGAACGTTGGCTGCAAAAAATCTTCTCTGCTGTGTGAGTTCGACTCTCACCGGAGCCCCAAGCTTTTTTCAAACTTGGGTCAACTTAATTAAGCAAATGTGCCAACCCCCCCTAAAAATTATAACTCGTACTCAAATGATTGGCTGAGTTACCCGCCTTTTACTTTCGAGGTCCAGCCTTGTATAGCGCATGTCATTTGCATCAAACTTCTAAACAAAACGGGCTATAAATTATTCTCTTTCTAACGCAGTCTGTAATTCCTCTCTCTCTC